AGATCTGCGCTCTTACGAAAAAATTATATATATATATATATATATATATATATATATATATATATATATATATATATATATATATATATATATATATATATATATCCTTCCTGACGGAGTCTTCCTGACTTCCGGCCTTCGTCAGGAGTCTTCCTGACGAAGGCCGGACTCCGGCCGAAACGTCGAAGATTAAATCGTCCGTTGTTGCTGTTTTTCACTAAGGGTTTTTTTCTTCTCAGTTTTATATATATATATATATATATATATATATATATATATATATATATATATATATATATATATTTATTTATTTATTTGTGGACATCGTGCGCAAAAATAGTAGCGGTTAGTTGTTCATTTGAAAATATAATGTGGGTTATATGGCGTAAAACATGATATCTTCAAACTTGCCGTGCTTTGAGTCACTTTTGGGCTGGGCAGCACAGTTTTTGGAAGTTCAAAACCTGGCCTTCATGGAGCTGTCCTGTTTACTCGGTATTGACAGCAGAGTAGAGGCTATGCGTGTTTTAGGCCAATCGTGTCTCTGGTTAGGATCACGTGACTACAGTCTCGACACTGGTGATAACGCAGAACACGGCACCTTCCTGAAGTCCAAATTCACGCGTAGCATTCACTGCATTATCAAACATGGGTACAAATGACAAACCCTCTAATTGTGTTTATATTTGGGATACCCCTGAAGGTTAGTCTTTGACAGCACTCCCCCGTTCTGGCCTTGAAGAAGGTGCTGCTTTTCTACTCCTTCTGTCTTTCTTTCTCTCTCCCTAAGCTGAAAGCGTGGTAGAAGGTGCTCACTCGCCGGACCAATCAACCGTAGACTTTTTTACCGCTTGACTCCGCTCTGTGCGCAGGTAACGGCAGAAGCGGGATCGCGTGGTTTGTCGGATGACGCATTAGTCGTTGACAATCTCGGAATGCTTGTTTGCGGACCTTTTCGCGTGTAGTAGCGGCTTGCGGGGCTGCTGTTAATTTCGCTTCTGTGGTAAATGGTATCTCGTTCGAAAAGTCCTACCCGTTAAGATTTCTTCAAAGAAAGACATTCTTGTGATGCGTTTCGTGTTCGGTTCGGCAAATGACAGCGTGTGATAGATCTTGTTGAATCTTCACAGATCCCTTCCTACTCGTTTTTGTGCTTGAGTGGTTGTTCTGCAGTGCCCATGTCGACATATATCTCGGATGACATCTTTAAAGTCCGATATATTCAACATAAGTGCGCTGCAACCTACTTGGCGACAATCGACCGTTCTTCTACGGGTACTCTTGCGGATAACCTCTAGACTTAGGCAGTGTCTACCTCTTGGCAGCCGGGAGAATAGTTTCCCTCGAAATTTTACCGACTGTCGCCGGCCATTATCCGTCTGAAATAATGTCACAACTGGGGTAAAATACTGACTTTCTTATTCTCCCTGCTTTTCGTGAAAACAGGTTTTGTTGCCACCTTTTCGTGAATGCACGTTCTACGGACACACGTTTCGTCGACATTAGTTACGCGAATTGCACGTTGTAGGGGCATTTTGTCGCGCGTGTATTCCTGAGGCACGTGCTCACCGACCCAGCCCTCCCGTTCACGCCACTTCTTGGGGGTCTGCACTGGCTCATTACAAAAGAAACGAAAAACTATTCTCAGCTGTTCATGAAACATCTTGTGTTGATGAAACGATCTGTCGATGAACGTCGTTCGATGAACTAATTGCACCGCCAGTGAATGGCGGCTGCCGGTAGAATTTCGGGGAAACATGTCGGCCCGCAGCCGGAAGACTAGACACTACCCAAGAATTACCCCGGTTCTTGTTTGCATTGCAATCTTCTCAGTTCTATAACAGCTTAGTTGTACATCTTCACATATTAGAAATAGCTTAGTTTGTACTTTATCTATAAAATACGCAGTGTGTAATAAAATTCTAAACGATTTGAAAACAATTCCTTGTGTCTGTTTACCTGCCTTTTTGCAAACACCTGGGGCGAGTGCATTTTTGTTGTTGAAGGGTTTGCTCGCTGTTTAATAGCCCTGTTACACGGGCACACTTAACCGTGGTTAACTCAGCTTAACTGCTGTTGCGCGGCACCACAGATACCGCACTATACTCTCGGACAACTATTCCATAACAAGTGAAGAGCGCGCGTGCACTGCTTCGATAGATGCTCAAGATGCTCAAGCGCACGTTCGCCCATTGCTTTGACTGCATAGCCACAGAATGTTGTCCGCAAGTATTGTGCGCCAACTGCGGCTTAGCGTAACTGCAGTTAAATGTGCCCGTGTAACAAGGGTATTAGATGTTTTCATTAAGTTCGAAATGTCTTAAATAAGGTTGAGATGTACAACCTTCTTTTATATTTAAAACCGAGGTCGGCACTTTTTTTAAGAAACAGAGACAATAAATAATTTGTTGCACTTTCATACGATTGCTGTAAAACTAAATTTAGGCAGCTATAACAAGATGGTAAAAGGAATCATAGGACGAGCTAAAGCAGACCATACAGAGGGCTATACGCTGCTAAAGGAACCATAGAAAAAGCTATGGCACGACGTTAAAAGAAACTATAGGACGAGCTATAAAATAAGCTATAGCAAACGATACAGAGGGATATAGGTGGCTAAAGAAACCGTAGGAAAGGCTAAAAGAAGCTATAGCACAATGGGTAGAGAGAATCATAGAACCAACTACAGAGCGAGCTATAGCGGACCATACAGATAGCAATAGGCGGCTAAAGAAACCATAAAAAAAGCCATAGGCGGCTAAAGAAACCATAGAAAAAGCCATAGGCTGCTATAGCACGCTGTCTAAAAATATCCATAGAGTAAGCCATAAAGATCTCTTTAGCAGATCATACAATACGCTACAGATGGCTAAAGAACAGTAAGGAAAGCTATAGGCGGTTATTGCATCCTTTCTACAGAAACCCAAAGAGTAAACCACACGACATTTTTAGCTTTTCATTGAAAAATCTATAGACAGCCATAGGCGAGAGCATAGGAAAAGCTACAGAGAGCCATATAGGCGGCTATAGCTAGTGGGCCAACTCTCTATAGCCGGCCAAACAAAGGATTTTCTATAGGCGGCCATAGACTATTTTTGTAGGGGTAGACCGTCTGACGGGGGTATAATCCTTAGAGGAAGACATAGTACAACACTTCGCGCTCTCAATTTTTGCTCAGTACGTCCTCTTCCATGCCCTTTTCATCTTTCACTGCCTTGGTCGTATTATTCCCCCTCGCCGTTTATGAGGTGATTGGGCGAAGGAAGGAGGGGGAGATAAGATGATTATTTTTTCCTCTAAGAAACCGAGGTCATACATCGGTGGTGGAGTTCAGAGCCACAAACCGACAGATACTGGAAGCACGAACGATAGTCACATTGCACAGGATTCTTATCACACAAAGCACACAAGTCGATTCGTCAAGCCGTTATATTAGCATTGTGATTGAGCTGAAACGACACGCAAACCGCGCAACTTACCGCCTAAACGTCTTTCCCCCTGCTCACACCTGGAGTGTGAAATAACGGAACCTAAGGTCTAAACTAATGTGCAATTTAAATGCGAAAAAAAAACAAAAACGGCGATTGCTTGTTTGTGCTGTGAAGAGGGAGCTTCAGGCAAGCCTCAGAATGGCGTGCCGGCGTTACACTAGGAGACCTAGCTTTTTCAGGGCTCTTCAGAGACCTAGCTTCTTCAGCCCTGAAGAAGCTGGGTCTCCTGGTGAAACATCGCTACGCCGTTTTGAGGTTCACCAGGAGCTCCCTCTTCACATTCTTCTGCCAGCTTCGCTCCCCTTGGTGTTTTGTTTGTGCTGTGTCACACTTTTTACTCCCATTGAGTTCAAAGTTCAACCGCGCCTCAGACTCAAATTTTAGAGATTACAGATGGGAACGTGGGTGGGGCTGAGACAAACTCCTGAAGAAACCAGACCGACCATTCAATGTCCGGACGTTTTGAAAGAACCGAGTTGGATGGACATCTCAGAATTCTAACTTATTAGTGAATTCCTTGTCGATGACACGCACTGAGTAGATGTAGGGATTGTAGGAGTGTGGCTGATTAAGAAATAAAGACTTTTCATTATTTGCTCGACCACTAATACCAGCTAAATATTAATAATACTAAATTTATATTGAACTCAAATTTATTACCAGATGCACCACTCGTGGTCGGTAACTCTGTCAAATGGCCACAACATTTCAAGACCCCTCCTCAAGGTCATTGTTAAAAAAAAAACTAATATTTATTTTTTGGCTGATATAGGTTATTGGTAAATAATTTAAGGTCATGGTTACGGTTAAGGTTTTCATAAACTTTAAATAACGGTTTCGTTCCGGTTACGGTTACTGAAAATATTTCGTTCCTGAACGGTTTTCGGTTTCAGTTAGTATTACGGTTTTAGTCCCGGCTTCATTTTTCTTGACGTCTCTCTCTTCCTGTTATTCCTGCACCACTAGTCCAGATGACTACGGCAAAGTGTCTACGAAATTGCTTCTCTCGAGTCCCCCGTCTTTACTGGGTTTTTGCCGAGTATTTCGATAAAACGGCCCGATCATTACGAATGTGCAGAAAATAGGGTTTCAGAGGATGTTCGGGCTGTTCCTATCTGTTCCGGCGAGTCGGGTAGTGGCTAAAGCTGCACAGTCTTACCTTGGGAAACTGTCGCAAGGCGCGAAGGTCATCCGTACCACCGCAAGCCACGCCGTCCCGCTTTGTTGCGTGTCGCTGCGCCGCCTTCCTCGGTTATTTTCTCAGAATTAACAAAGTTTTGGATGATTGCCCGACAATTCCCAGACTTGTCCAGATGCCTTAAAATCTTCTAACAAATCCAGGTTTTCCAGCTTGAATGCACGATACAGTCAAGCAAAACAGCAGCTTATTCACTTTTCATGTAACATAAAACGTTTCAACAATAACAGGGAGAGAAAGGATGCACAACGCGCTTGGTTGCAACCAGACGCAAGTGCGTAAATCGGCCTTTTCCCGGCGGGCGTTGCAGCAACACTCACTTGAGCCGAGGTGGGGAAGTCGTTGTAGGTAGCCACCGACCAGGACTCCGAGTGGTCCCAGCTGACCAGGTGAGCCACGTTGGGCGTAGCCCTGGGCACGGGCCACGGTACCCGGGGGAACAGGGGCTCCAGCTGCAGGGGCACACCCTTGGCGTGCAGCTTGCCCAGCAAGGTCAGGAAGAAGGCCGGCACGTCCACCACGTCCCGCTTCATCAGCCCCAGGCAGGTTGCCTGCGGAACACACGCGCGGGCAGGGTGACCTCTCCGCCGCCTCAATCGTGCACCGACATTGTTACGTCTTTATTCTGGAAATACAACGACCGGTACGTTTCGGCTCACACGAAACAAGCGCAACCCTGCGAGAGAAATGCTCGGGACATGAACCGCGTAAAGGCTGGTTTGCACACTTGAGATTGCCTACGACCATGTGAATTACACCCTCTTGGAATCTCTCGCGACAAGACAGCTAGCACCATCTATACTACTTGGTGGAAGAACGCGTTAAAAACAGCACAACTTAGCTCGACTTACTAAAGCCGAAGAATATCGGTAGCGACGCACCTGCCGAACCTCAGCTTACTACAGCCCTAAACGAACTTTCACAGCTGAAAACCCATTGTGACGACGGGGAGGGCAGATCCCGCTGCAACAACCTTCTATTTTTTGGCGTCACCGATACCGATTAGAGCACTGCACGGGCCCGGGCCAGCCCGAAAGCCCGAGCCCGGCCCGGCCCGCGGGCCGGGCTCGGGCCGGGTAGCACGTATTTTCTCGGGCCCGGGCTGGGCTCGGGCTTGAACAAAAAAGTTCTCGGGCCGCGCCGGCCCGGGCCGGCCCGGGCCGTGCCTGGGCAATCTAGTGCCGTAAATCATAAATTGTTGTTGATAGCAAGAAGTTTGCTCATTAATATTTTAGGTTCGTTGAATACAAAAAAAAAAAGCGAAGTGCAAATTCACTACAGCGTCGTTAAAAATAATAACTAAAAGACGTCTTGAAGCTCGAAAGCCTTCAAGCTTTTTCCGTGTGAGCGAGGGTTGTGTTATAAATTGCAAACAAAATAAAGTCCCAGTCATATGCTTGTAAACCTGTCTGATTCATCGCTCTCAAAAATATCTAGTTCACTATTAGGAAGATTTAGAAAAACGTACGCAAGCGCTTTGGGTACCGAAAAAATAGCGTTGCGATGTAAAACCTATGGCGATGCTAATTTTAGCTTGCCCAAAGTGCTTGAGTACGTTATTCTATAAGACTCCCTTATTGCACCGAGCGCGACACTATATTAGCGCGAACAAGCGATCGTCGTGTTTTTATGTTTTCTTATAGAATCGAAACGCTGTTTTCAAAAATATTAGTGTTTTTAGAAGTGCTCATCTGGGCCACAGACCTAAGCGGTATACTTTGGTGCCTACTAAAACCATTTCGAAGTAAAAGTCGAAAAAAGAGCCAACGTCGTGTTCGCGGTATCAGTGTCGCGCAGTGTACATAGTCCGTTCCGCGCTTGCACGTTTTGGGAACCATCTTCAAAAAAACGTTTTAAGGGGTTAAGTAGGAATATATTAAACCTAAGCTTGCCTGAAAGGGTTGTATATTTTAAGAACGTGTTGACGTGTAAAGCTACTTCAGAACATATTCTTAAACAGAAAAGGTGCGCAGACCAGGCTTAGAACGATGGAGACTTTTTGTGAAGAGGTTGCGATGTGCAGGGCCTTATAAAAGTAGGTTGAAACGGGACGCGTTCAAACGCAAAGGGTGTTTCGGAAACTGGTTCAAATAAGAAGGGCGTTTAGGGAATGGGTCGAAACAGGACAAATTCAAACGAGAAGGGCGTTTAGGGAACTGGTCGAAACGGGACGGGTTCATATGGGAAGGGTGTTTAAAGAATAGGTCGAAACAGGACGGGTTCAAATGGGGAGCTCGTTTCGGGAACGGGTCGAAACAGGACGGGTTCAAACGGAAATGGGTTGTTTCGGGCTACAGCCATCGGGCCGGGTCGGGTGGGGCCTTGAAATTAACAATTCTGTCGGGCTCGGGCCGGGCCCGGGCCGTGTTTCTTCCGGGCCGGGTCGGGCCGGGCCTAGAAATTAAAAATTCTGTCGGGCTCGGGCCGGGCCCGGGCCGTGTCTCTACCAGGCCGGGTCGGGCCGGGCCTAGAAATTCCGGCCCGTGCAGTGCTCTAATACCGATAGGGAAACGTGATCTCAGTCCAAGGGCTTCTTAACTGGCCTATGCTCCAGAAACCTAGGCGTGAATGTCGACTCAAGTAAAATTGAAAGAGAACGCCACTTAGGAGAGTTCAATCCGCAGAAAATTCGCCCTATAATTGTGAAGTTTTAATCATTTGAAGATAAAGAGGGCATTCTTTCTTCGGCGCAGTTTAGCTCAGAGGAACACGTGTGGCTACCAGTGAAGATTTTTCCCTTTCCGTCCGACTTGCACGCCGTCACTTTCTTTATTTTGCGAAGTATAAAGGCACGACTTACAAGCTGCGTCACGATAAGCTGTTTATAGACAATACGTGTTATATATTTGACACCACTCTTGGTGCGCTGAAAGTAAAAATAGTGCATAGCGATGCCAGCGTTCATTTCGTTTTTAGAGCGGAGCTCTTAGGGGCCCGTTTCTGGCTTGAGCGACGTCAGCGTGTGACCCCCCGGAGGTCACGTGACCCCTTCCGCCACGGTCACGTGTCCCCTCCCTCCCAGGGTCACGTGACCCCCCCGAGGTCGCGTAAACCCCCCCGAAATCACCTGACCCCCCCCCCCCCCCCCCCGAGGTCACGTGACCTCCCCCGAGGTCATGTAAACCCCCCGAGGTCACGTGACCCCCCGGAGGAGATTGAAGAATGAGGGGAGGAGGAGGAGGAGGGGTATACACTTCCCTCTTCCTCCTCAAGAGCTGCGCTCTAATTCGGCGTTACAGGGAGTTGTCAACGGCTTTGACTTCTTTCGTCACTCAATCAACCTGCGAAACGCCATGATATCGGTAACAAACCTTCTGATCATTCAATCTTTTTCTCAACATTAGAAGCTTGATACCAAAAAGAGACGATGCGATTTTTTTGATTGAAGCATGCAACGCAGATTTGCTTGTACTTACCGAGACGTGGCTAAGACCTTATATATCTGATACCGAACATTTTCCTATCTACCCAAACTTCCGTGTGTATAGGTGTGATAGATCTGCTAAGAGAGGGGAGGCGTGCTTTTACCTATAAAAAATCATATTCCGTCTCGGGTTATACCGATCCTTACCGACTTGGCAGTTGTTTGGGTGTACGTCGCTACGACGTCCCGCGTAATAGTGGGTGTGTGCAACAGACCGCCACATAGCGATGAAGAATTTGTTACCAAGCTATATAAGTGTATTTCTGAAATCACAACTAAAGACCCTAACGCCTTTGTTACTCTCTTTGGGGATTTCAATTACCCGAACATTGACTGGCCTGCCCTCTCTTTTAGTTACGCATTTCTCAAAAAATTATAGACTTTTGTTTAGATTTTAGCTTTTCAAATGTTATCACTCAGTCTATTAGGATTACTAATCACTGTAGCAATACACTCGACTTATGCTTAAGCCAAGACCTCACTCTTCAGTAACATCAATTGCCCGGCATTCATTCGCAATTACGCGGGAGCTGACTACGCATCTATCAACTCGAACCTCGAAGATTTTTATAACACTTTCTCAGTTAACTTCTAGGAAAGAATGGTTAATGAAAACTGGACTCTCTTCAAAAATAAACTGATGTACCTAATCGAACGTTTTAAGCCACTGACCCGTATTATATCTGATAACACTAACCCTTGGTACAATAAAACAATCCATAGTTATTCCAACAAGAAAAAAATACTCTATAAGCGGGCTAAGGCTGTTTACACTACGGCTTCTTGGAACGCCTATGACGAATGCGATAAAGCTTATAAATCCGCCATTAATCATGCCAAAACAAAATTCTATAGTCACAACCTCCCCAACATACAAACCACCAAACTAAAAAAAGTTTTGGAAAATAATCAACCTGGCCCTATCACCTCCATTGCAATTTGTAGATGACGACGGGATTCCGCTTTCAGGTAAACACGGCGCTCTGGCTATTAACAATTTATTCTGCTCCATCTTTACTAACGAGGACTTGCTAAATATTCCCGACTCGTGCCCATTCATTCACCCTCTTATAAATCCTATCTTAATTGACCGCAATGGAGTACTTAAGGCAATTGATCAACTGAAGGTGTCCTCCAGCTCTGGAGACAAACAAATTAACTCTAAGGTATTAATAAACACCAAATACATTTCTTCCACTTTTCCCTGCGACATATTCTCTCAATCTCTTAAACTCTCAAAAGTACCATCCGATTTGAAAATCCCTAACGTCATACCCATTCATAAAACAGGCGATCGCCATCTAATCAGCAACTATCGTCCCATCTCGCTCACCAGCGTTTTATGTAAACTCTTAAAGCTTATTTTCTATTCAAGCATAACAAACTTTCTATGCTCTCACAACCTCCCTTTCAAGCACCAGCACAAATTTGGCACGTCATGCTCTTGCGAAACTCAGCTAACAGCGTTTCTAACTGACGTTTACTCAAATTTCGATTCCAATGTTCAAACTGACACCATCTTCATTGACCTCTCCAAAGCATTCGACAGAATCCCTCATCAACGTCTTTTAATGAAACTAATATATATTAATAGTCACCCTTCTGTAGTCAAATGGATTTCTGAATTTCTCACAAATCTCACTCTGTAAACTTCTATTAGCAATGTAAACTCTACCACAAATATGGTAACAGCTGGCGCCCCTCAGTGAACCGTTCTTGGCCCCCTTTTTTAATCTACATTAGTGATCTCCACCATGGCATCTCTTCTGCAGTGCGTTTTTTCGCCGATGACTGTGTCATCTAACGACCGATTCATTCACGCCACGATCAACTAATCTTGCAGAACGATCTCCAACTTATATGTCAGTGTTGTCAAAATGGCAAATTGCTTTAAACTATAATAGCTGTAAATCGATAACGCTTTCCCGCAGTTCACATGTTCTATCTTCCTCTTACCACCTTTCTAACATCTCAGTAACTGCTTGTTCATCGTATAAATACCTAGGGATTCATCTGACATCTGACCCCTCATGGACCACTCACATAACATCTGTCATTGCCGATGCTAACCGCACTCTCTGATTTCTTAGTCGTAATCTCAGACAAGCTACATCCCCAGTAAAACAATATAGCTTGGTCAAAACTAAACTAAAGTTCGCTCCCTCCATATGGTCACCGTGGCAGGCATACCAAACTAACAACCTGAAATCCGTTCAAAGCAGAGCCCTCCGTTTTATTTATTCTAACTATTCCCCTTATGCAAGCACATCATGATTTAGCCAATCAGCGAACCTTGGCACATATTATCACCGCCGCAGGCTGTCTCGTCTTTCTCTTCTTCATAGGATATTTCATTACAACAATCATCTCAAGCAAAGTTTGCTATCGCCACTTCACCGCATTTTCCCTCGTTTAAACCATTCTTCTATACTCCGTCCGATTTCACCTTCAACCGTCACTCACCAAATGTCTACTTTACAATTGGCCATTGACGACGGGAACGCACTGCCTGACATAATTGTTTTCATATCTGACACGAAGAAAATTGCTGCAACCATTACCTTATTTTTGCTAACCTATAAATGGATTGCAGCGTGTTTTTGTTTTTAAATATCTGTGTTGCATGTTTTTTTTAAGTCTTCACTCCCTTGTATAATGCCCCTGGTCCTTCAAGGTAAAATAAACGATCGCGATGATTATGATGATGATGATGATGATGATGATGATAATGATGATCTATAGGGCAGCCGTAAAACACTCAAAATTTCTGGATTTACACTTTTTTTTTTTGTTGGCTTGAAAAACTTTTGTGAATGCAATAGATGACCATATCTCGGATAGTATGTACATATGATCACGAAAATACTGCAAAACCTTCGCTCTAGTAAAATGCAGCTCCATGTTCACCTCATAAATGGTGCCAGTGTGTTCTCTTGTCTTAAGATATCGTAAGAAGTCTTGATGCACTCGGTCGTAAGTAGTCGCAGGTGAGTTAAGAAGCCTTAAATGTTATTTGTTTTCATGTTGTTCCTCTGCAAAAACGTTTATATCATTGTGAATTGATAGATTAACATTTATGTATTCACATCTTTATTAATGCGAATGTATTCACGTTTCTATTAATATGAATCCATTGGTAGAAATAACAAAGAATGCGCTGGCGAGCATGTGTACTTTCGACATCTCAAACACTGGAAACATCTTAGGAAAAAGAAAAGTGGACACCACACACGCAGGTTTGTTGTTCAATATTTTGTTTCCAATTTTCGGGTGTTTAATATCTAGCGAATACAATACTTGGGTACAAAGAAAGACGGGCAGACGTCTCGTAGATTAAGGAAAGAAACCCACCTCCGGTCCCAGGGCCTGGCGCAGGTTGGCCTGCAGCAGGCAGTGTGGCGCAATCTCGACCACGATGGCGTCTTTGGGCACGTGCTCCAGGGCCTCCCGGAAGAGGACGGGCGAGAGCAGGTTGTTCACGTGGTAGGCCGCCGAGCAGTTCCGGGCCAGCGGCTCCCCCCAGCGGCTCTGCGGCACCGACGAGCTGATCCAGCGCTCCGTACGGGGGCGGGGCTCGGGGACCACCTTAGAGGACGCGGGGCACCGTCAACGGTGAGGCGACGACCGCCCCGCTTGCGGCGGTGCAAGCGGCTGCCCCGGGTGGTGGAACAATTTTTTCGCCGTAAGGGTGAATTACATCTGCCAGTGCTCTAAGCGACCATTTTCCCGAGACAGGGCGTAGATTTGTTTTTCGTAAACACTCGAAAACTTAAAGTTAGTTCAGAATTCCGGAAGTATTTCAGGGTTATTTCTACACCGGGCACAATCATGTTTCAACTCGCGCGAGAAAGAATGAATACCCTTTTGCAGGTTAACCCTTTGACAGCCAAACTTTTTCACCGGTGCGCATCTCATGCCAGGGTATTTCCTGCACTCTGGATGCAAATTTCAGTGCAAGTAACGCAGTACCACGAAAATATATATGTAGGAAATGCGGAGACGCCCTGTTCTGTGTTCCCTCAACAGTTTGTCGTTTCTCTTCTACCCATTGGCGTACCAACCGGGGGGGGGGGGGGGGCAAGGGGGGCGTTTCCCCCCCAGTTCTCAGAGTGGGGGGGGGGGGGGGGGGGCAAGGCATGTGTTTTGCCCTCCTGAAACAGCCGCCACTGGGCAGGGCAAACACTGGCTGGCGGCGCCCAAGGAATACCAAGGACACCGCCCCCCGACCCGCGGGGGCATATTTTTAACGCGCAGGTGATACAAACCCTAGCAACGGCGCTCACGCCGGATTCGCTGGTTCGTGGAGATAGGGGCTGCCACCGCCAACATAGGCAGCGGTTGCTGTGCGAGTTTCCGAAGCCGTAGCGTAACTTTGTGGTAAGATGTGTGCCTCGTACGTATCAGACCCGGGTTCTATGGTGTGGGCTTACTTTTTTTAAGGTTTTTTCCTCAAACATTTTGCTTTGTCGAGGCATCCGGCGATATTTACGACATTCCTTTTTTAAGACTAACACTGAAAAAACAAAAAAAAAAAAACAACAAATGTTGTTGACGAAACATCGCTGAACTAAATCGTATGGGACTCTATTGACGGAGCTGCATAAGGGACAGCGGGGCTTGGGTTGCCGGCTGGACACCGCAAAGCGGCGTGTACGGGGGCGGCGGGGAGGGGGGGGGGGGGGGCTAAGTGGGTTAATAGTTTTGTAATTAGCAGCCGCACACCATCGCCGCGAAGCTGCGTGATCGCAGCCGCAGGGGTGGGTTAACGCGCTTCGAGTGATAAACGCGCCGTCCGAATCCGAAATTTAAGTTCCCGCGCGTTGCCGAGCAGCCAATCCGGCGTGAGCGTCGTTGCTAGGGAGTCTATCGCCTGCGCCGTAAAAGGAGCCAGTGACCAAAGCGCCCAGTGCGCATACACCAACTGGCCCTCTCCTCTCCCCCCCCCCTCTTTTACAACACCTACACACACACACGCCGTAAAATTGATAGACCGAATCTGCCGAACTTCAGATTCGGCAAAGTTCCGCACATGACGAAATTGTGAAGGAAAGTTCGGCAAAAATTCGCCAAAAATTTTACAAATGTCTGCGCACGCGCACGAACGCGCGGGACCATGAATCGAAAATGGACGCCGCGCAGTCGCGTGCTTACCATCGCACAGTTTAGTACAACCAGCGCCAGCGGTTACGGCGAGGTATGGAGTAGGCGACACGGCAACTGCGCGTTTGTGAGCTTTTGCGAGTGTGGTTCTCGTCAATATTTTCTGCCTCAAGAACATAAGATCGAACAGCAACTTACGCAGTCCACTGCGTAAGTGACAAATGATGAGGTGTATTCTGGATAACGTGATTTTCATTTGACCTTTACGTTGATACAACGAGGTAGTTGAAACAATGACTGACAACTGACAATTACCCTCAGTGTGCGCAGCCCACTTCCGTCAAGCGGGGCAGAGTCACGAGAGCTTGCCGGAATGTATGGGATGCAGCTGGTATCCTCTTCATATTGTGATACATGTTTTCTCCCTTTTTTGTTTCCTTTTTACGTACTTTCTGTAGTGTGCATACTCTGAACATATATATTTGTCTGTTTTGTTTTTTCATATGTGGTGGCGGGCTGGTAGCAGACATGTACAAGCTACTCAAAAAAAGTAATTAAGTTAAGTTACTGAGTATTAGCCTCAAAAGTAATTTGACTAGAGTAGAAGTTACTCAAATGAAAAGTAATTGAGTAAATTACTAATTACCTTAAAAAGTAGTGAATTACTTTTGAAGTGACTTTTATTTTTTATGCTAACAGGGAAGCACTTACATAGGTTTTGATGCGTTAGCGAAATTCTGCTAGCCGAATATAAAGCGGCGCTTGTGTTTTCACAGAAATGCTTTAATAGCTGGTTCTGCTTCTGCATGCCTAATTGTTGCGTACTTCTTTTTGGTCAAGGATGCACTGCGGATGTATCATTTCACCATTGAGGTTTAGCACTGCCGGAGCTTGATTTTGCAGACAGTGTTTGATTGCTTACAGTGTTCCGTAAAGTACGTCTAAAACTACTTGGAAGTACAAATTACATGACAGGTAATGCACTTCAAGTAAATTAGTAAGTACACCGGGTGCAATGAACTTGAAGTGATGTACTATGAATACAATGTACTTCCAAAGTAAAGTAGAAGTACTTTTTAACACACTCTTTCAGAATGACCTTTCATTCCCTATACAGCGTTTTTTTTTAACTGGATTGTTTGCATTGCTGCAGGGGAAATCGGAGGTGCATCAGTTTTTTTCGGAAAGGGCGGCAAAATCAGAGGTGCATCAGTTTTTATTTGTTTCTGGAAATGGCGGCAACTAATACTCAATAGATGAATTGCTTTATTCTCGGTGACGTACCACTTTACACAATCAACTTATAAGGCACTTATTTGTATCGGTCTTATAGCCGCCATTACTTCACTCAGAGAAATGACCAGATGACGTCTTGAAAGACAGCACAAGCTATACAGGAGCACCAGATTAACTTCAGAGCGGGTGCTGCACTTTGTTACCCTCCTTTGAGTGAGGATGTAGTGTGTATACCTCCTGTAGTGGGTAAGAATTCCTACATAGGGGAGAAGCGAGGACAAGCCCTTTCTTCAAATGCGTCACGTCTCCTTGAGCTTCTGGATACAAAGAAACGCAAGTCTTCGGCGCTAATGCCACAGTTGCTCGGCCTCTCTTGCGTCGTGTCTGTTCGCTCCCCGCGCCTCGCAGCAGTGTTGTTTCAGTGGGGGACTCGTTAAATTTTTTTGGGGGGTTTTGGACTATTCAAGTCACTTTCTTCCTCCCCCCCTTTTCTACACCACATGCTTCCCCCTCTGAAAATATCAGCTGATCTTCCAACGTCTTATCTCTGTTGATAGGCACAACAACCACTGAAATTAGAAAGTAATTTGTAATTTGGGTAGAAGTCACTCGGAAAAGTAGTTAAACCACTAATAACCAAAATAGAAATGTAATTGAAAGTTATTAAACTATCCAGAAAAGTAATTAAACTACAGCAGCTTGAGTAAAGTAGTTTAACTACGTACAGGTCTGGCTGGCAGGCGCTCTGCGTAAGGGTTTTCACCTATCTGCCTAGCCCCGCACACCACCACATGGGCCCCTTCCGGTATGTGCAAATAAAATTATTATTCTTATTATTATTATAACAATCTTGTTTTCTGCTCACAAGTAGTTTGTGCCAAAACAGAAAAATATTGCTTTTTAGTTCGCGTTATTTCGCGATTTTCCATGTATCTGCATAAAACTAAAACAGAACAATCATGCTCGACGTTGCACATCCGACATTCCTAACTCTCCCTAACTTCCTAAACGTCCGTGTGGGTTCTAACACCAGAAACCGGAATTTTAAAAGGTTAAGAACGACACGTTGCGAATGTGGAACGCACACTTCCATGCAAAGCTAACGTCAAGTAACTCTAATCCAAAAACGTGCATATTTACTTTAATATTGTTGTTTCTTCTGGTGAAGGCTCAGCAACCGTTACATTCGTTTTCGCGCACGAAACGGAGACTCCCAGAGAAAGTACAAACGCAGTGATTGCCTTTGTTTTAACAATGTAAACACACTTGCAGGCGTGCGCTGATGAAGATTCAAAATCAAAACTCTCGAAGTGTGAATCGTGACTGCGCCGGCTGCTACCCAACCTCGTTGTCACGCCACTTTCTGCAAGCAAACACTAAAACTGCCAGTAAACACACAAAAGCGACATCGATACAATTATCTTGTAATATCACCTTATTTAGTCATAACTTTTTCAATAGGCACTACATGTTGTTTTTAAGAAAAAAGTGAAAGCCGTTTACAACTCCCTGTAACGCCGAATTGGAGGGCAGCTCTTGAGGAGGAAGAGGGAAGGGTACTGAGGGGAGGGTAGACCCCTCCTCCTCCTTCTCCTCCTCCCTTCATTCTTTAATATGCTCTGGGAGGGTCACCTGACCTCGGGGGGGGGGGGGGGGGGGGGGGGGTTGCCGCGTGACTTTGAGGGGGGGAGGGGGTCGCGTGACCTTGGGAGGGGTCACGTGACCTTGGGATGACCTTGGGAGGGGTCACGTGACCTTGGGGTGACCTTGGGGTGTCGCGTGACCTTGGGGTGACCTTGGTTACGCCGACGCCGCTCAAGCCAGAAACGGGCGCCTAAGAGCTGCGCTCTAAAAAAAACATAAACCTTTTTTTGTCAGAAGAAACTAAATATAATGTTAAGTCTGGTAACAGTGTATTTTTGCCGAATCTTTAGAAAAGTTCGGCAAAAGTTCGGCCCATCACTAGTAAAAATATGCGACCCGGGGGGGGGGGGGGAGATACTGGTTTGCCACCCCCCACTGCTTCTACCCAAGTCTCGGGTAAATTCAACGAAGTGTCACGCTTTATAGAATATACTCGCGTATCAATTACGCGCTTATTTATTGGCACGGCATTAATTGATGTCCGCGTGCCTCCAAGCGAGGACAATTTTCTCGCGCTGTTGTTTTCGGGACAATGCAAAACGATACCTTGACTTCGCAACCTGAGGGCACTTTTTTTGGACTGCCACTCGGTGTTAAGGAACAATGTGCAGTTCATTCAGAACCGCGAACCGCAAATTTCTCATTTTTACATTTTTCGGATTCAGGATTAATTTCTAAGTTATAGAAATCTGTGTGTTTGCCATGGAGTGCGAGGTTGAATGGCGAAGATTCACCGTTCTGGAATAACAAAGGAACAAACTGAAACAGACGCTGCCTAAAAAAAATTTCCAGTCGCCCAAAAAAAAAAAAAAAAAAAAAAAGAAGAAAAACGCAAGACAAAAACAACAACAAAAAATAGTTAACAAGAAAATTTATGCACGGCAGTGGGTATGCGCGGGAGCACGCAAGGGACAGCGGGCCCCACCTTTTCGAGAACCTCCTGCAGGACCGGCCCGACGGGCTGCACGTAGTGGCTGTGGAAGGCCACGTCCACGCTGCTCATCTCCCGTGCAGACACATCCTCTGCCTTGAGCTGTGCCACCAGCTCCACCACCGCCTCGGCCGGGCCGGACACCGTCACCGAGTCCTCCGCGTTGTGGCAGGCCGGGACCACTCCGTCGCGGCAACGCTGCTTCGCCTGCTCCCAGGTGAGGCCTGGGAGAGGCCGGACAGAGATCCTGCCAGTTAAGGCAAGAGATCGCTGGCCATGTCCAGTACGGCTCCGTAGAGATAGCAATCATTGGTTGGATGAGCACATACAATGTTTATTGACAACGTTACCTCAACATCACAACTTTCATTCGCAAAGCACAACAACGTCAGCACGGCATTCGGTTGTCTGAGGTATCGGGCAATAGCGCAATGCCAATACACCACGAAGTCCATACTCGTGTTAGGGCAGCTCACTTCTAGCAGCTGCTACCGTTTGAATTGCTCCCAATTTCCGCAATGTCGTCTTTTTCAGAGGCGTTGCATTGCAGGAGTGCAATGCCATCTTCTAGTAATTTTTACGCGTAAACATTTTACAGCATGCAGGTTTTGACTAACATGACGACGCTCTCAGGTAACATTGACAAAAAAGCTCTTGAGTAATACCGGCCATCGCCACCAGTCTGCTCTAGGTCAACGTTATTGAATTGATTGCATCATAAGGGCTCCGCTTTCAAGCGCTTTCTCGGCTCTTAAGAGTGGCTCGAGTGAATATCTCACTGAAATTGCCTTTGTAAAAATAACATTTTTTTTTCCAGAAAATAGAACTTCAAAGCTTCTCCTGTTGAGCACGTTTTCAACAAGTTCTGTTAATGATTTTATTAAACTATGTGGCGGAGGATTACAATTAAAGGCACCGAGACGAGCAAGATGACGCGAAGTACACAAATAAAAGCCGATCAACTAGCCCCACTGACCACCCTTCAATCTAGAGCTCCACACTCCTAGGTTGACAAATCTGAAAAAAAAAGTGAAATTCATTTTCCGAATTCCGGAGAAAAATGCATTCAACTTGCTTTTTTAGGCAGCATGTTCGGGGTACGAATATCGGTAAATATTGGGTTTTACCCGAAAACGAAGGTTTCTAAACATAGACAACATTCTCGGGGGCGAACTGGATAAATATGCATTTTTGTCTCGTTAGTATGCACTTGGATTATGAATGCTTTTTTTGAGGAGACGGAGGTGTCCATAGTAACTACTAACGAGCAGTGTGGTGCAGATATTAAAAAAAATTCTAATAGTACTTTCAAATAATACGCTATTCGATATTCGCTTTGATATGAACTGGGATAATAGAGAGTTTTAGTAGATCGTTCCGATATCTCCGACAGCCCCGATAACGATACTATGCATGCGCAAGGAAGGCGGTGGCGGAGTATCGGGTGTCGTTATCGGAGTCATGGGAACGATCTACTAAAACTCTCTATTCATGCTTTTCAAGGTATCGATCCCATTGAGTTAGCCCCGTTGAGTGCGCTTCACACTGGGCCCCTGAACTGCGGAGAAGCAATACTCGTTTCATTTCCGCAGTACAGAGGTGCTTGGTGAGAAGCGCACTCAACGGGACGATCCCGCAGCGATTATGCGAGAGTAAAACATAGGCAGCGATGTCTTGACAGCCTACGCACATCATTCCTGTTTTTTTTTTGTTTTTTTTTGTTTTTCAAATTTCATTCTGAAGAAACAATATTTGCACGTAGCAAGCAGATTTATAGAACTCCTAGAATAGGGTAGCTGCGACAGTTGTGTTTTTTCGATATGTGACCGTTCATAAATATAGCTATACTAAAATTAACCGAGTTTAAAAGTGGACAAGAGGAAGGTTGGGATCTATCCGCGTGGGTTCAGCTGAATTTTGGTTTGTGCACGGTAGTAAAAGGCTCAAAAAAACTAGTCAACATTGAACTAGAAAATATTCGAGCAAAACCCCTTCCTGCTTCGAAATCGTTTCGAACTCAAAATCCACTATTTGCGCATTACTAACGAGGCATCAGTGTATTTAGACTTGAGGGAGTGGCCAGCAGCCTCGACAGCACACAGAAAGCCCACGTCCAGACGAGACGACCTGCAGACAACGACCCGCGCCGAGAAGGGCAGACTGACCAACGGCGGCCATGGCACCCTTGGGCAGGTTGCACAGCTCCGTGCAGTGCCCCCACCAGTAGGCGCACAGCACCGCCTGCTCGGCCGTGAAGCCCCCGTCGGCAAAGCCGCACCCGATCTCGCCCAACGAGTGACCCACGATGCCGTCCGGCTGCACCCCCACCGCCTTCAGCATGGACACCAGCGCTACCTGCGGGAAGCGCAACGTCCTCCGTCCTGCCAATCTTACCCGAAAAGACTGAAAACAGACGCGTGCGGCTCACAAAGGTAACATATAAGTGTCTAGAGGAAAAGGTCCCACGTATTTCCGTCGCTTCGGAACGGGGAGGCACAGACGCGGACGTCGGTGGTCGCAGTGGGCCCATATTGCTGGCGATGCTTTAGTGTAAACGAAGCAGCGAAAATACACCATTTGCAAGATCCGTACCTAGTATTCTAGTTTTATTATGCACGAAAACACTGGCTTCGTGTACTGCATCAGAGCCATTTTAAGAGAATTTCTGCGGAGGGAATTTCTTTGCCGTTTTTTGTGGTTAAGGACAACGCCGGCTCTGCTCCATGGGACAGTTCATGCTTTCTCATTTATAACATTTCTTTGCTAAAAGTTGGTGTATCTAGTTTTTTAAATAAAAAATGAGTTGCCCTAGACACACCTGCGAAAGCGGAGGAGGGGGGGGGGGAGGGGGGTGTTTTACAATATTTTTTTTTCTGAAGATGTTAAAGTTTTAACTTTGATCCGGAAGCAAGACTCAAAAGGTGATTTTAGATGTTGTAACATGGGACAATATGAGGGCCAGTAGAGCAATTGTTTCCAACAGGCTACAATAAATTTGGTTATACGAAATGAATGCTGCTTATAAGCTCATGCCAGCAAATCAGAAAGACATGCGGGAAACACTGCGACACATGGTGGGCTCGTTCCATTTACCGCACCACCCTACACCGGTGCAGAAAAGTGTAAATTGAAAATCGAACGAAACGGGCCCCGTCGCCCCACTCGACAATGGGGCGAAATTCGAATGTCCAATTTAACATCACCTTCATTCGCCACTTTCTCAACAGCCATTCCCGTAGTTAGGATTGATAAATATCACGCGCCGGAAAGTGTGACCCTGGGTATTCCGAAATTGTGTTTAATCTGGGTCGCTACAGAAAAACCGCCTGAGCTTCTTCTTAAATTTGGGTTCTCTACCGCGGCTCACCTGCACGGCGGCGATGGAGACAAAGGGAGACACCATCGTTTGGTTTTTGGCGTTGTCGCTGGTGATCAGGTCTACGAGGTCGATGCCGAAGGGCACCAGGAGCTCGTGAGAGCGCCGGATGGAGTTGGCAAACTCGTCGAACTGCATCATCTGGCGGGCCATGCCGTTCCACTGGCAGCCCATCCCCGTGAAGACAAACCACAGCGGCCGCTTCTCAGACGGGGCACGCTGTACCGTGGGAGAAAGGGCCAACGGTCAGGACGCTCACGCAGCTCGGGTGCGGTCGCGGACAAAAAAGAAATGGCTAACGACCACACAATGCTTGCTGCGATTGAGAGGGGTAGCTGCCGCGTTGTGGAAAGGCACGTTGAAGGAGATTCGCCTTCAGCTAGTGTGCTGTATCATATGTTTGCCATGGGTCTTTGCTTTTAGTGGAACTGATGGAGGAGACGTGCTATTTAATGGAACGATTGTGCGAGATGTTGCATGTGTTGGAGGACACAAAGACGTGTTTTTTAGTTGTTTTTTTTGAGGGGGGGGGGGGGGCTAAGACGCTCTTTTAGAACGGGGGCGCCCGTGACTGCACCTGCGGTGGAAGAAGCGAAAGAATGTATGCAAACTGTTCCGTAGAGGCGCGGAGAGACGCGAGAACGGAACCTGGGTGGCGGAAGTGGGGAGGAGAGGGAGCGTGTCCGGACAGTGCGACATCGTGGGTGTTTCGGAACAGAAGCTGCTGGAGGGGGGGGGGGGGGAGGAAGGGAGGGCGTTGCGGGAGGGTATGTGGATGTAGCAGAATGATTGGGAGGCGAGGAGCGGTCTCCCCGTGATCACGTGGGTTTTCAGAACAGCGCAGGCCTACAGGGGGGAGGAACGGGGGGGGGGTGAGAAGGAGCCTTGCCTTTTGTGAGGAACGACGAGGAGATGGAGAACAGTGGCTCTGGTGTAGAGTGGGTTTTTGCGTTCGAATGTGAGCACTTATTGCCGGGAAAGGGCACTAACAGCTAGCACTGTAAAACGGAAGCCTCTGATAAAGCTCCTTGCAGATAGTACCTTTCAAATGCCTTGTGGCATTCCTGGCGCATGCCTTGTACATGTACATGCAATGCACAGGTCTTATACAAGCCTTCCACATGACTGGCACATGCCTTGCATAACACGCCTTTTGAACAGGCCTCGTGTACACGCCTCATGCGTGTTTTTATTTTGACAGAAACGCAACCTACGACGAGCTAATTCCAAGGAAAAATAATTGCAGTTCAAGATTGAGCTTTATTCGCACAAAATTCACTTGTACTAGACCGCACGTTCAAAGCTATCCCAATCTCGAGGAATTACGATAGACACGTCCCTAGAAGAACACCGCCCACGACGCAATAGTGCAGGGTCTGTGGTGCCTGAGCTATGATCCATCGAGACTGGAGGAAGGCTGGTACCGACCTCTATCCCCTTCATGGGCCTGCGGGAGCCGTCCACGGCCACCACGGAGTACCCGCGGAACGGGAACTGGCTGACGCTGGGCTGCCCGACCCGGTTGAGCAGGGCGTAGGCTGAGTCCGGCAAGGGTCCGTCCGCCTCCAGCCGGTCCAGGGTGGCCTACGAGGGGACACAGGCCTGCCGTGAGCATTCTCGTCCATGCAAAAGCCCCGGGCACCAGAGTTAAGAATAATCTAAAGGAAATGGTCCCGGGCATTTCTACCACTTCGGAATGACAGACGTAGACATCGGCGGTCCCAATAGGACCATATCACTGGCAACACTTTAATATACGGAAGGAAGCAGCAGAACGTCACTTTCAAGCTCTGCACCTAGATGTTTTCTAGCTTTATTTTGCATAAAAAAAAAGAAGTTGCACAGGCCACGTGACTTCTGCCAACTTCTTCTCATTATATCTTCTTCCTTCCCTGCCAATTTCGGTTTCGAGCAATTGCGTTTTTTTTTACTTTATTAAAATGTATGTGACGCTGTAGCAAAATATTGATTGGGTAGTCTTCTGACACCAAAATGAATCGCCTGGCAAAGAATAAAAAAAAAGTGAAAGCCGTTTACAACTCCCTGTAACACCGAATTAGAGCGCAGCTCTTGAGGAGGAGGAGGGAAGGATACTGGGGGGTGAAGTGACCTGGGGGGGTCACGTGACCTTGGGGGGTCATGTGACGATGCCGATAATGTCATCAGTGACGTCACTGATGACGTCATCCGTGATGATGACGATGCGGATGCCGGTGATGTCATCAGTGACGTCACTGATGACGTCATCAATGATGATGACGATGACGATGCGGATGCCGGTTGACGTCATCAGCGATGATGACGATGACGATGCGGATTTCGGTTACGTCATCAGTGACGTCACTGATGACGTAATCCGTGATGATGACGATGACGATGCGGATGCCGGTGACGTCATCAGTGACGTAACTGACGACGTCATCAGTGATGTTGACGATGACGATGCGGATGCCGGTGAGGTCATCAGTGACGTCACTGATGACGTCATCAGTGATGACGATGCGGATGCCGGGGACGTCATCAGTGACGATGACGGCATCGGGGAGGTCACGTGACCTCGGCGGGGGGGGGGGGGGTCACGTGACCCTGGGGGTGGTCACGTGACTTCGGGGGGGGGGGGGGGGGGGGTCACGTGACCTCGGGGTCACGTGACCTCGGGGGACACGTGACTTTGGGTGTCACGTGACCCTGGGGGAGGGTCACGTGACCTCTGGGGGTCACGTGACCTCGGGGGCCACGTGACCTTGGGATGACCTTGGGGGGTGGCGTGACCTTGGGGTGACCTTGGTTACGCCGACGCCGACGCCGCTCAAGCCGGGAACGGGCCCCTAAGAGCTGCGCTCTAAAATTGTGCACTGCATAAAAATAAATGACGCTGACGAGCGCTCGAATAACTTGAAGCCATCGTGGCAAAAAGAAAACACCTAACCTATCGTCCGCTTTCTTTCTTTTGCTTTTCTTTTGCTCTTTCTCTCATTTCTCTTGGAATCCCCGATGTCAGCACTTACGATTTGCCGTACTCTGTTCTCGTGTTTAGCCCCCTGGCCGAGGCGGCCCTGAGAAGCAGAATACTAGCTCTTCCGCAGAAAATACTTTCTGGCCACGCCACTGATTTTAAGCTTTCCAGGTTACCCAGGTCGGTAGACACGCCGCGTTGCGGGCCAAGACACCCCAAAATCCTTCCCGAAGAGAGGACGCCGAGAAATCACACCATGAGCGACTCCTGGGTCCTCCCGGCAAGCAGCACCAGCCGGGGCAGCTGGGGCTCCTCCCGGGGGAGGGAGTCCACGTGGTTGCCCGGGTTTGCCTCCAGGATGGTGTGTACGTTGGCGCCTCCAATGCCGAAGGAGTCGATCCCGACCAGACCCCCCGGGAAGGGCATGTGTCGGTCCACCACCCGAATGCTGCCGTCGTTCAGCGACGGGATTGCCGGGTTTGGCTCGTTGAAGTGCAGGTTGCCCGGGATGGTGCCGGTCTCCATGGACAGGATCACCTTGGCCAACGAGCAGATGCCTGCGAGGTGTTGCCAGGGTCACTATCGTGGCACGTCCAACCACCCGCTAATAAATAACACTGACTAGCGAGACCCTTATTTATACCCGCTTATTTATAACTGATGGAAGCGACGTGCGTTTTTCCGTTTCTTCTCGTAAAAAATACCGCCCGCCACGACCGAAATCCCCTGCTCCTAGAACTCTCCGCCATTGCTTTGAAGGACACAGACCTTAAACTTTTTGTTGAAGAGAAAACGGAAGCCGTTTACAACTCCCTGTAACGCCGAACTAGAGCGCAGCTCTTAAGGAGGAGGGTGGTAGGGTACTGAGGGGAGGGTATACCCCTCCTCTCTCCTCCTCACCTCGTAATCCTGCCTGCTACTCTGCCATGGGGGCCACGTGGCCTCACGGGGGCCATGTGGCCCCCGTGAGGTCATGTGATCTCAGGGGGATGACGTGACCCCCGTGACATCACGGAGGTCACGTGACCTCAGGGGGGGGGGTCACGTGACCTCAGGAAGGTTACGTGACCCGCCGAGGTCACGTAACCCCCGTGATGTCACGGGGGTCACGTGACCTCATGGTTACGCCGACGCCGCTCAAGCCGGAAACGGGCGGCTAAGAGCTGCGCTCTAAAAACAAAATAGAAAGCAGTATAGTACTCAGTATTCTACTTCGAGCATAAAAAGATCACGCCGAAATCCGCCGACAGTCCTTCCCCTCAGATGGCACTTGCGATAAACAAACCTTAGACTTCCTGTAAGGCCAGAGTTGCGCGTCTGTTTTCCACGTACCGCCGCGCCGCTATTCGCCGAGATCCGATCACGTGAGGAGCCGGATCAAGTGCCGTGCAGGAAAGTCACCGCTAAGGCCGCTCGCGGATCCGTTAGCCGCTACCCGCAAGCGAGCAGTTAGCCAGTCCGTTAGTGGATTCTGTCACGCTCAACAGGACGAGCTGGTCACGTTGAACACTGTTTAATCCTTCATCACCCATCGAGCGTTTTGATTATGCGCACTCTATCGATAGCTGCTGTCTGAAGTGTTGCAGTCGCAGCATGACTGGGTGCAACGCGCCTGACTGTATTAACCGCTCCAAGGATGGAAAAGGAAAATAATTTTTTTGTATTCCGTTTGGTTTGCCGATCCGACGACGACTTCTGTGGCTATTACGCCTCGGCCAAGACAGGTCGGCGGCAAAAAGGGTCAGGGTACGTGAGGTAATTAGTTCATTTATTTTCTCAAAACGCCGTCTCGTTTTCATTTCAGAAAAAGACGGCTTTCAACAACTTCAGGTAGGCTTTGGGGCGGCTAGAAGCAAGCGATTAGCCGTTCCGGAGGCTTGCCCGTCTTACAGCCGACAGAAAACTCACGATCACTCATTTTTCTCGGTACCTGCATTTTACACGTAATTCATGTCGGATAACCACGACTCTGAAGATTTGTTTGCGTCGGTGAACGTTCCGACTTCGTTGTCGACTCTGTGTTCGTGTCATCTTCGACGAGGTTCTAAAGGTGTGCATGTACACTGGAACACAACTCTCGCAAGGCAACGGTCAATCTCGGGTTGTGAAAAATTGCCGCACCAAAGCTGGCGCAGAGCTCAATGTCATAAAAAAATATTTGTTACTGGTTATGTGTATTGGTTATTTGGTATGACCTTTTATATGTTTGTTGCATTTAGGATCATTTCACGGCTGACCAATTTGGAGAATGCATTGGGAAAGAAAATAAACAGCTCAAGAAAACTGCAGTTTCAAGTACCTTTTCCTGTGAGTTTTGGTATGCCTAGTTAAGGTTCACTTCTTTGCTGGTGCATTCTTCATGTGCCTGATGATGCATTATTGTTCAATAAGCTCATCATCGTTCAAGCTGAGCAGTGAGGCATCTGTCGACGGGACCTCGAAAACGCTAGAAACACCAGGTAGGAACACAATCTGACATGTCAGTTTGCCGGCTACGGTTCAGGAGCACAAGCAGGTACTTTTAATTATGAATTGGCTCGTGACATATTTTTGAACTTGTTGACCTGATATCACCCTCAGCGCCCGGTATACCTCCTTCTGCTCAAGACAAACCTTCAGCATTGACAGGTGAGATGATAGGTCATAACAATTCACCATGGCAAACATTATTCAGCAGTTGCTTTAAATAAAGCTTGTTCCTGGCGGTGCTTCGAGTGGTGCTTATACAATTACCGGATGGCCTCATACATAGGTAAGGTAACCATATTCTTGGGGGGGGGGGGGGGGGAGGGGGGGGAGGTGCAGGACTCACAAATCACACTTTTTCTAGCTAGTTTTACTATCCAGCGTACACATCTGAAACTCCTCGCATGATTGACATGGGCCGATGTCAAAGTGCCAAGGGACCAGTTGATGTTTTGCATGGCCTGAGAATGACTCGTGCCCCTGCCACGCATTAATATCAATCTAAATTAGACATGTACTGTCGAAGTCAATGCAGTAGTCGTTATGCCTTGTCCAGCTGTGCAGATGCGTGAATGTTTGATGCGAGAAGAAAACCACAGTGGCCCTATATTCAGTTAAACATTCTGTTTATTGCCATAAAATACAAACGTTTAGCCCTTTGTTGACGATGTGGTCTGCAACTTGCAGGCCTGACCACACCATTATGGTCACATTGCCTGCGTCTGCATAAGAATTGCTTTCGGTGGCTTCACAAGGTGAGAGGGAAGCTGACAACATACCAGTTTCGGGTAGCCTTCCAGGCAGAGTTGTTTTGAGCGCATTCTCAACACTACTTTAAATTCTTCCCAATTATTACACAGTCTGGGAATGAGGTGCGAGTAAGTTGGTTAACATTATCCCTTGGGGGACCCAATATTTTGCCGCTCTTTTCTTGACATCCCACTTAACTTGCAGTCTTGCAGACGCTGGTATGGCGAAGCACCCCTGCGGTTCATCTGGACCAGCTATCCTCTTATGGAGGTGAGATAAAAAAAAAAAGACGAGTTATTCTTTGAGCACCAGGCTGCGAAAAGTTTGAAAGCTACCTATTACTAATTGAGCGATAGAAAAACTAAAACATTGGCAGTTTGCAGTCAAGTTTTGCATATGACAGTAGCCGCATGCCCCATTCTGTGCTAACGATTTTATGCCAGTTACCATGAATAGCGACTAGAACACAGTTTTCTTCACATGCAGTAAACAGTGATCTGAAATCTGAGAAAGAGGCACACATAGAACGGCAACTGAACCTCGAGCGGAGGCGACGCTACCAGGCAGAAAGAGAAAGGAATCACATCGGAATGCGTTGGGAAAGGTCATTTCCCCCGACCAGGTTTATTACTTGGAAAAGGGCACCATGAGGGGAAAATCCTGGTCCCCGGCCATGGTGAAGAAGGCTCTGCACCTAAAGGTTGTCTGTGGGAGCAGAGGCTATGACTTTGTTAGGGAGAATGTTGTACCCCTGCCAGCCAAGAGAACACCTCAGGAGCTGACTGACCACATTAAGTTTACTCCTGGTAAGTACCGGCCTTAAAGCAGTAGTAAAAAGTCGCAGCGTATGTTGATAAAAATGATTGTAAATAACAAACAATATCTGCGCAGGAATCCCGGATGAGGTTTTTTTTTGCTTTGCAGCAGAGTGTTTCAGCAATGAAACCAGAAGAAAGGCATGCCTGTGTCTTGATGGACGGAATACGAATTTCACCCAGTCTCGACTATGATGCTTCGACAGGAAAAATCATAGGTAGGGCATGCCTGCTAAAACATTATTGTTGGTAGTCATCTGCACATCTTGCTGTCACTATGCGAAAGCTGCATTTAATCTTCATAGTCTTTATCTTAGCGATTCATTTTGTCTTAGAACTTTGAAAGTACCAGTTACCCGATTGTGAGCTAACTAACTGATGGCTGGATCTTTCAGGGCAGCAAGCAATTCGTCTGTCAAACCCTCCTGCGAAAAATGAGTTGGCAACTCACGCTCTAGTTTTTATGCTGGCAGGACTTACAAGCAGGGGGAAGCAAGCGGTTGCATATCACTTCACGGGTAAGTTACTGGATTGTCAGACAACTGTAGCAATGGGGTGCACCAAACTTTCTGATCTAACTTTGAAGTCATTCGAAATGTTAGATGTTACCACGCTAATAAATGCAAGCTCTTCATAGAACAATTATTTTTATTGTTACTTCTAATGGTTACACTTTAGGAAAAGTATATGAAAAAACGGTTTGGTGGAACCACCTGCTTGCTAGCACACCCATTCACGTGCATGGAACTTGAGGAACTGTTTAGCCTTGGATCTCTTGCTGCAACCTGATGTAGCATGGTGTCGGTCTGACTGATGGGATTGATGTTCGAACGTGCCAAGAGCACCGACATAATTTGCATTATTAAGAATCCTTGACGGGCCACTTAATCGGAGTCAGTTAATCGGCTGTCATATTTTAAAATCCAATGAACGAGGTAAGAAATCGGTCAGCAAAGTGACCTTGCGCAGAGCTGCACCCTAATTTTTTTTTACCCTTTCTTCTACATCTTCTTTTAATGCAGCTAAAGTGAAGAGAGTGTTGTTTGAAGTTATTAAGCGTGCAGAGGCTGTCGGCATCAAAGTGAGCGCCGTCACAACAGACATGGGACCGGGGAACACAGCAATCTGGCGGCTTTGTGGAACCCATGTAAGTCGATATGGAAAGCCAAGCCCGTCATGTCTTCACCCGCGTGGTGGAGGAAGGCAGCTGCACTTCCTAGCAGACGTACCACACCTGCTAAAAATCTGAGAGGCCACCATGTTTGAGTGCAGGATATCATCTTGGATCAGCGTAGTGACCAAATATGATCAACCAGCAACAAGGTGATCCTGAACAAATGCCTACTATAGCGGGTGACAGGTTACGAGAAAATCGCGGGCTGGAGAGGAGGAAGAAGATCAAATGCTGGAGTGGAAAGGAGGCGTCCCCCTCTCCACTCCAACCTTCAGTCTGCTTCCTCCTCTCCAGCCCGACCTTTACTCTTAACCTGCCACCGGCTATAGATATGCATTATTCTAAAACATCC